CTTTTTTGCCGTATGAGTATACGTTGCCCAGGGTACACCACGTGGAGGTAAGTCAATCGCACACCCCCGATCTACTAACATTGATTTAACTTGAGGGTAAGATTTTCGACCTAAAATAGCAAACTCATAGGATATTAAAGAGGCAGAAATGGGTTGCATAAGTACTACACCACACAGCTAGGCATAAAACAGATAAAAGCAACATTAAATAAATATTTTGAATTTTCCTCAGGTGTGAAACCAACGGTCAAAGTCAATATAATCACAAATTATTTGGGAAAAATTGGCATTCCCATCAAAATATAAATCAACATCCGAAGGTTAAATAACAAAGCTTAAAAACATGAAGTTATTACATAAGTGTGCACACCATCAGCATCGAAGTTTCGTTGACATCCAAGAATATTAAATTTATTTGCACCAAAAGACCTAGTCAGGGTTAATATATCGATTAAAATGGGGGAAGTATAACCACATGTATGTAAAAATGACCTCGGCAAACAATAGGAGAAAAACTGACTTAAGGACATTGGCAGATTAGAGAAAGGCGGGGTTAATTCAAAAGCATCATGAAACAATAATTCAGTAGAGCATATTTTGCTAGTCTGAAAAATAATAACACATACGCAACTAGTCAATAGATATATTTGGACTCAAAAAGAGCAAAAATAGTCCCATGAGATCAGACAACACAACAACTGCAATTGAATAAGATAGGCTGCTTTTAGGCCCTTTGTTTAGGACGATAATTAATATGGATTTTGGGAGAGATAGTGAGAACAGTGTCCAAAAGTCCATTTAGAGTACTCTCACGATTTAACCTGAACGATTCATTTTGCATCTCAAGAGTCTTTTGGGTTGTTGCGGTAATCTGGGCCTCGGTGTTATTTTGAAGACCAAAAACTTCCTCTTCTTGTATTTTGTAATTACGTTCGTATTCCTTCCTGCAAAATTCCATTTCCTTATCCGCATCAGCCTGAGCCTCCTGAACGCGTTTTGCTTTCCCTACAAAATGAATAATAAATGCATGGTAAGATGCTCGGAAAATAAATACAGTTTTTATCAAGATAGTAAATATAGTCGTGAATAGGTAAAAAACTCACTTATCTTGGCTGCAGCGACTTTATCCGCTGCCTTCTTTTCAGCTTGGAGCAGCATTTGGATACCGTCATTTCGATTGGGGGCCGCCATCGCTGAACAAAATAATGTGTAGATAGGTTAGCCAGATCTTGTTTAGCCAATCAACTTCCTCTATAGCGACAGACCACGTGAAGTATAATGGGTTTAAATGCGCAAATTTTGTCGCGACTTTATTTTACCACAACGGAAGGATATATATAAGCAGTAACTGTCAAACTACTAATAATGGTTTTCGTTCTTCCAAGAAAAATGCATCGTTTGTTTTGAATGCTATAAGCAATGTTTATAAGGGATGGAAAATTAGTGGCAGTTTGTGTTATATTTAATAGCAAGACACCTGAATTTATAATGCACTATTTTAAATATGTATTTATATATTTTTTATTTAGAGTTTTATCAACTATTTTAACTTGGCCCACAAATTCATACCTTTTTAAACAACTGACGTTCTCATGATAGCTTGCTCATTTATTTTAATGCCTTTGACCTGTAACTGGTTTCAATTAGCTATATCAAATTGTTTTTCTCCTTATTATTTGAAAATTGATATAAATTTTTAATTTGATTTTTTTCACTTCCCATTTAAAATAGAAATGATGTGAAATATAAGAACAACTGACTTTTAACATGACATAATATAACCCATTCGGTTTATCTTCGAAACCGAGGCATTAAATAGCTTATTTTCGGTTACAAAACCTCTGCCACCACCGAAGCCCAATACCCATAACTTGTATCGAGGATTGCTAAATTTAAGCACTCATTCTGCTCATCAGTGCAGATGTAGAACTGGCTTTCAATGTAAACGAGTTAGCAATTACCACATTATTGATAGATTCGAATGATTTTTCGTATGTAGGTTTCTAAAAATTTACCAATTTGGAGCATGATAAGCTAATCTTAATATATGTTTTAATCTATAGTATAGGAGGTCACCTATTCACTGCACATGAGCATGCATCCAGAGAGCGGAAATGTCGACATCACTAGTTAAGTTTGATTAATAAACGGCCTAGTAGTACTTGAGTATATCGTCAGGGTACGTCAATGACGCCACCAACTGATTCATGTAAAGTGCCGGAAAAGAGAACATTTCTCCAAATAAGTTACGTAGCTTATTTTTCGTTATTCCTCTAAAGCATAAGCGGGGTGATATAAATCATAATTCCTTAGATGCAATGTAATGGAAAGCTAAAGACGCCAACACTCATTAGACATATCTAGTCCGATGATTTACTGATCTGTCACGTTCTTCCCGATTGCCTTCACTGCCCTAGTTGATTCATCGCTACCTTTCATAACCTGACTGTCCCAATCAAATAGTCACCTTAAAACGCATGGCGACAATCAATCGTTTTAAAGTGAGATACAATAAAAGTCATTTAAAATACACAACCTCGTTGCAACAAAAGCCACCCAAAAAAACTAATCTCAAATAAATAAAATTACTATTTTCAAGGGGGGCAGGAGTAGCAAACACAGCCTATGATATGTTAGTTCTTCTCAGGGAGGACATCAAAAGGTGCGGTAAAATTGGGTTCATTCATTAGAAGGCATGGTTATTAAGAAAGGGGAGAGAGGAGAGTCGGTCACCCAGACAGTTTGACCACACACACACACATACACACACGTATATATAAAGAGAAGGTAGACATTGGGAGCGAAGAGATCCATAGGTATCGACGGGTAGAAAGAAGCCTTAGTAGTGCAATTGTAACGCAGTGTCGGGGTCTCCTTTGTATACAGTTACATTATCAGAAAAAGTGTGCGTGTATGTGTGTGCAAGGAAAGAGTTCTTTGTGGGGACGGTGGGGGAGGAATGTGATATGTGATCGGATATGGGGGGGGGGGAG